CTCATGTCATATATGAAATCTCAAGTAACTCTGACGTAAAAGATTCTGAATACCTTCTTGATTACTTAGCACCTCCGAAAAATATATGAATAACATATGATCTTGATAAATCACTTCTTGAATGATTGATGAACCTGTTAGCTATCAAACCCCCTTTTTATAGGGATCTAGTACTGAAATTCAATCAATTTGCAGAAATTATGTGGCTCCCTACCTGATAAATACCAAGTACCTCCGGAAAATAAATAGATCATCTAGTGTGTTACCTATATGCTATATGATTATTTTATCTGTCCTGAAATGTGATTTACCGAAATTACTATTTTATTGAATATTTTAACTGCTCGATATTCTGATTTACTAATGTATTGATTTACTATTTATGAACTATGGCTACATGAAATGTGCTATCTAGTTTCATGTTTTCACTAAAAATATAATCGTTCTTGATTCATGGATCATGGAATCTACTGTTTACTGTATGAACTGATTTTTTGGGATATTTTCTGGGTAGGATTCTAAAGTATGGAGGTTCAGCTCTGATCAAGCTGGTAATTCCTTACGGACCTAAGGTATTGCTTGGGTAAGCTTTAAGGCCCCAAGGAACTCTCTTAGCAGGGGGATTGTATTTTGGTGTAAGGAAATAACTACATTGCCATTTTTACAACATTATAATGGATCATGATTTTGACATTAAAGTTACTACTCAATCTGATTTCTATTGGATATTGTATGGGTAGGAGTCTAGAGTACAGAGGTTCAGCTCTGATCAAGCTGGTAAATCCTTACGGACCTAATGAGACCCTTGGGTAGGCCCATAGGCCCTAAGGTACTCCCTTAGGGTGACTCATTTGCTGTGTGCTTAGGGTAAGTTCTTATGGATGCAGTTCCAGGGAAACTGCATATCGGTGTTTGGTTGGAGGGTATTAATGTGGTTTTAAAATATGTTATAAACTACTAATGTTTTTAAAGGATATGTACATATTTCTCTGTTTTGTTGGAACACACTAGACTCCCCAATTTAATCTTCTGAATCTGTCTCTCTCTAAATACTTCTTTCAGACCGTAAATTTCTATTTTTATTGAAGACTTAGCTAATGAAATCTGAATTCACCGCTAGAATTTGATGATGACTGTCTTGCTAAGGAATTTATGATTCACCATATATCCAATAACCTATTGCATTCATCTGGTAGTTCTGTATTAATGAGTTTCTCAAAGTTTACTATTTACTCACCATTTCAGGTTTGATCCAATACAATTATCAATATCAGTAAAGGAGTTCCACCAGCGTTTCTTGTGGAGTACGGTGCATTGAAATGAGAGCCTGAGATTCATGTGTTTCTTGTTTCATTTACGGGCCACGGCCATGTAAATCCTCTTCAAAGACTTGTCAAGCGCCTTACCTCCATGGGTTCGCTTGTCACTTAACAACACCCAAATCCTTCTGCAAACAGATGGCTAATGCCTACAATATCAGCGACCGGCCTATCCCGGTCGGCGATGGCTTTCTCCGATTTGAAAGCTACCAGGATGGCTAGGAAGACGATGAGTTGATACCTTCACAACTAGACCGATACATGGTTCAACAGGAACTTATAGGCAAACCAGAGATTATTTCGACGATCAAGAAACACGCCGAGCAGAACTGTTCAGTTTCATGCATCATTAACGACCCTTTTATTCCATGGGTATCTGATGTTGCTGAAAGTCTAAGCATCCCTTGTGTAATTCTTTGGGTCCAATCTTGTGCTTGTTTCTCTTTGAATTACCATTACACTGAAGGGTTAGTGGCTTTTCCTAGTGAAAATGATCCTGGGATTGATGTTAAGTTGCATGCCATGCCGGTTCTCAAGCACGACGAAATTCCTAGCTTTTTGCACCCTTCGAATCCTCATGCTTTTTTGATTAGCCCCATTCATGGTCAGTTTAAGAAACTTGACAAGACTTTGTGTATTGATTGACACTTTTAAAGAACTCGAGCATGAAATCGTTGATTATATATCCAAAATATGCTCTATAAAGACTGTTGGTCCGTTGTTCAAGTACCCTCGAGCAGGGTTTTAAAAGAGCGGTCCGCAACCACGAAATAGCGGCAACGCTGCCTTCTGATATACCCATTATGGCCGTAAATAGTGCCCGCTATGGTCGCAATCGCAGTAAATGAGACATGACCGAAAACGCGATCGCGATTAGGGTGACTAATTTGTTATGTGCTTAGGGTAAGTTCTTATGGATGCAGTTCCAGGGAAACTACATATCGGTGTTCGGTTGGAGGGTATTACTGTGGTTTTAAAATATATTTTAAACTACTAATGTTTTTAAAGGATATGTACACATTTCTCTGTTTTGTTGGAACACACTAGACTCCCCAATTTAATCTTCTGAATCTGTCTCTCTCTAAATACTTCTTTCAGACCATAAATTTCTATTTTTATTGAAGACTTAGCTAATGAAATCTGAATTCACCGCTAGAATTTGATGATGACTGTCTTGCTAAGGAATTTATGATTTACCATATATCCAATAACCTATTGCATTCATCTGGTAGTTTTGTATTAATGAGTTTCCAAAGTTTACTATTTACTCACCATTTCAGGTTCGATCCAGTACAATTATCAACATCAGTAAAGGAGTTCCACCAGTGTTACTTGCGGAGTACGGTGCATTGAAACGAGAGCCTGAGATTCATGTGTTTCTTGTTTCATTTACGGGCCACGGCCATGTAAATCCTCTTCAAAGACTTGTCAAGCGCCTTACCTCCATGGGTTCGCCTGTCACTTAACAACACCCAAATGCTTCTGCAAACAGATGGCTAATGCCTACAATATCAGCGACCGGCCTATCCCGGTCGGCGATGGCTTTCTCCGATTTGAAAGCTACCAGGATGGCTAGGAAGACGATGAGCTGATACCTTTACAACTGGACCGATACATGGTTCAACAGGAACTTATAGGAAAACCAGAGATTATTTCGACGATCAAGAAACACGCTGAGCATAACTGTCCAGTTTCATGCATCATTAACGACCCTTTTATTCCATGGGTATCTGATGTTGCTGAAAGTCTAAGCATCCCTTGTGCAATTCTTTGGGTCCAATCTTGTGCTTGTTTCTCTGCGAATTACCATTACAATGAAGGGTTAGTGGCTTTTCCTTGTGAAAATGATCCTGGGATTGATGTTAAGTTGCCTGCCATGCCGGTTCTCAAGCACGACGAAATTCCTAGCTTTTTGCACCCTTCGAATCCTCATGCTTTTTTTATTAGCCCCATTCATGGTCAGTTTAAGAAACTTGACAAGACTTTGTGTATTGATTGACACTTTTAAAGAACTCGAGCATGAAATCGTTGATTATATGTCCAAAATCTGCTCTATAAAGACTGTTGGTCCGTTGTTCAAGTACCCTCGAGCAGGGTTTTAAAAGAGCGGTCCGTAACAGTGAAATAACGGTAACGCTGCCTTCTGATATACCCATTATGGCCGCAATAGCGCCCGCAATGGTCGCAATCGTAGTAAATGAGACATGACCGAAAACGCGTCCGCGATTTGAATCTCTACCCTCGAGTGTAGGACAACACGGTTGTTTGTGACACCGATAAAGCTGACAAGGGGTGTATTCGGTTCGGTTCAGTTTTTTACCAAAAATTGAACCGAACCGAAATAAACGGTTTTTCAATATTTAAACCGAAACCGAAACCGGTTTTATCGGTTCGGTTCGGTTTTTTTAACGGTTCGGGTTTTTCGGTTCGGTTTTTCGGTTTTTCAATGAAAAAATCACTTGAAACTATATTTTTTTTTACAAAAATTGTCTATTCGGTTCAATATGAAACAAATGGGTTCCATATGGAAAACCCGAACCGAACCGAATCAAAAAAATAAAGCCTTTAAACCGAACCGAAAACCGAACCGTTTAAAGCCAAACCGAACTGAACCGAACCGTTTTATTCGGTTCGTGTCGGTTTTTCGGTTTTCTCGATTTCGTTGCTCAGCCCTAAAGCTGACGGCTGCATGGAGTGGCTCGACTCGAAACCGGCTTCGTCGTTAATATACATCTCGTTCGGTACAATTGTTTACTTGAAACAAGAACAAGTGGATGAAATAGCTAAGGCGTTGTTAGCCACTGGTATCTCGTTCTTGTGGGTGATGAAACCGCCAAATCAAGAGTCCGGCCTTCCACTTCATACTTTGCCCCATGGATTCTTACAGGAAGTAGGTGATAATGGTTAACACCACTTCATACGACGGGGCCAAAGGCAGCGGATTTGAAGACCAACGCCTTAAAGTGGAAGATGACGGCGGAGGCAGCTGTGGCGTATGATGGTTCCTCTAATAGGAACATACAAGCTTTCATTGATGAATTTCGTCAAGAGAGTAAACCTTCCACGTAGTTTATTTAAATTTAATAAGTGTTGTTTAATATAAAAAGTTTTAAATATTTAAGATAATAAATATAAATTTAAATGATAAGATTTATTTTAGATAATTAAATTACTAAATAAAATTATTTTAACGAAAATATAATTTTGAAGTATGAAGGTTTTTCAGTTTTATAAATATAAATATATATTTATATTGATTCTACTTCCATTAAAATAATCAAATAAGATGATTATATCTAAAATAATTTTATATTATATAAGTGAATTTTAACCCATATATATATATATATATATATATCAATTATGCAACTATTTTTAAAAAATATATAACACTACATTTTGTTTTTTTCTATACTCACTATTAAATTTAACTAATTATCAAACGAAAATAAGGCTACTCGCTATCAAACTTATTTATCAAATGAAAATAATGATATAATATAATAACAGTTTCAGTATCCAAAATTTACATATTTTATTAAATTGATCCTAATTAAATAAACTCAATAGATCACAATATTTAGGCCAACAAACTACTCGAATCTAATATTAAGATGCTCAAGTTCTGCTTGCTTGATAACACTAACTCAGACTGCTTGAACTGAAAAATTACCGATCAAATTCAAACTTTTTTCAAGCACAAGTGATTCATTCACACACTATCCTGGAACAATTCCTTACAAATTGATGTGAACAATCCTTCCATTCAAAAGAATCAAAGAGACTAAAAGCTTAATTTGTTTAATCCATAAAAATGGAATCAAATCATCCTACCAACAAAATTTCATAGTTATGAGTGCTCTGTGGGTATTGGAAGTAGAATACATAATGAAGTTCAAGGCAACGGGCATAAACCTTTTCCTTTTTAACACTGGTGTAAGGACACGGCTATGAAGCCCTCTTAGGGATAGACATGTTAGAAATGAGATGGAATGTGTAGCTAATGATAAATAGATGAAACACTAGTCCTGCAAAAAAATAAAAAATAAGCCTTTTATTAGCATAAAAAAACTTCAGAAAAACAATACCAAGACAAATCAAAACTTACCCACAACACCAAGGACGACCTCAGGAAGCTCCAAAACTATTTCCCAGTAACTTGTTCTTTTGGCAACCTTAGCAAAACACATAAGCAAGCCAAAGATCATAAAATAAGATTCATCTCTTGGAATATGAGAACAGCTACTGATCCTCTATTTAACTAACAGTTAACATTAACAGAGATAATTCTACGAATTCAACACAATTATTAGTAGAAAATAACAATATCATCTAAATATTTGTTGAATGCAACAATCATTCTATATTAGTAACCAATAAGGCACTTTTCAGACGTTTGGATTGCCTTCATTACATCCTCAAAATTGCTTAACCAAGCCTAATATGAAAATTTCCAGTATCTCAGATGACGGTTGGAATGCCTTCCTACAGCTACTAAAATGACTAGATTTATTTTTGTTTTTCATTTATGAAACCCCATTGCTTTGTTTCTTCGTTCTTGTTCTTTACTTTCCTGTCACTATTATCTAGTATCCACCCACCAAATTTTATCTCTTTCTTGATACCAATTTCTCCAGTCATTTTAAATTTTGTTGATACCAATTTTCTGGCAATATAGAATAATGTGATAATCGATGCTAACAAACCAAATTATTCCGAGATTGTCTTTCTTATTAAAAAATAGAATGTGAAAAAAGGAGACTTTTTTAGCCCAAAAAGGAAGAAACTAAATTCATTACCATGAATCCTGAATACTTCTGAGTGGCACAATATACGAAGAAGGAGACAACAATAGATGATGTGACCATAAAAAGTCTCAACAAATTCACTCGGCTGCGTTTTCGACCTTAGACAAACAAAAAAGATATAGCGTTAAACAAAAGAAATGCCAGCCTCAGAAATAATCATGCAGAAACATGGGAGTTAGCAAGTAACCTAATTCTCCAATCATCAATGAAATGAGACCAGAAGCCATAGTTGCAATCTCAAGGACTGGGAGAGCCAAATCGTTTGATGCTGATCGAAACAGAAGCAAAAACAGTCCTAACAAAAATGTGATAGCCTACAATGAAAGAATGCTATAAAGATAAATAAAAAGCATAAACAAGTTGATACTTCTAAAAGATAAATGGAAAGTATGTTTTCCATGAAATGTGGGAGCAGCATACCTGAACTAAGAAAAATGAGCGCAGAATAGATTTTGTACGAGCTACTTTTTGATATCCTACAGGTTAGGATCACAAATCGGAGAAATAAAGATGTCAATTAAAAATCATTGCATAAACTGGGAGGAAGAAGAAACAATGACGAATTAGAGGTAGAACATACGGGATTCAACAACCATTCGATACGAGAAATCCGAGCCATCTGTACCAGAAGGCCTCCCTGATGCCGACACTCTTTGCTGCATTTCTGCTACTTTGCCTTGCTCAACTCCTGTTTTAAGAAACAAGTCATTTGAACCGTTAGGTAATGTTGTAAGAAGTCAAACTTGGAGCATTGTTAGACAAACTAGGAATTTATCCTATCAAATAGAAACCATAATCAAGAAGCACACACGATTCAGAAGTAGCCACAGTCATCAGCTGAAAGCTGAGGAGGGACAAACCCAATAACCAAAATAAGATTAACTAATTGCTTTGTGTATTTTATTAATTAATATATGAAACACCATGAAGAGCAGTTTTGATTGACAAGTAGTTGTATTATAAGGAAAGCTAAAAGGCAAAAACTAAGGAAATCTGTTCTCCATGCCACTTTTTTCTCTCTTTTTTCAGTTCCATTACTCTCATCAAAGAAAACCGTAATTTTTCTCTGCAATTCTCTGTATGCCATTCCTAGTTTCTTCTTCAAGAAATTTTTAGATTGCCAGCTACTACTCAACAACACAAACGTCAGAAAACGACATTTCAGAATACTTACTTCAGTCAAAGCGAAGGTGAAACAACTCATGAATCAAACAAGAAACAACTAATTAAGGCATGTGTAGTCAGATCTAAACGAGTAGAATGAACTAAATCCATTAAAAAGTGTTCGCAATCAGGGATCGTTCGAAATCCTAAACAGAGAAAATCATGAACCAATAAGAACCTAAAACATAACGAAAGAAATCTCTAGAAGGAAAGGAGACGGAAAAGGAAAGGAAATTGGAGAATCAGAAGCTGTACCTTTGAATGGAAGAATACTGTGCTACTAGCGGTGGCACCAAGTAAAAGGAATAACGTAGAAATAAACCTAGAGACTAAAAGATCTTTATGTTTTTCGAAACATAAATTGGCTTAAACTACTTCATAATATTTCCATCCTATAATCCCATTTTCAAAGGATTATTATCTATTATTAGCTTAAAAAAATTGTGTTTCAATTTTCTTTATCCCATTTTTATATTTTGATTATTTTAATTTATAAAAAAAAACCTTAAAATCCTTTGAATCCATAAGAGGACAATCGAAATAGAAATCAATAATCCTAACAAAAATAAATATATAAATGTAAAATATTTTGTATATAAAGTCGCTAGTTTTATTAAAAATAGAAAATATATAAAATTACAATGAAGATTTACAAGTATAATCGAAAACCTAAAATATAATTATGGTATTTTTCTATAACCATAGAGGCAAAAACTAACTAAGGAAAATGTTAAAAAAACCTAACCAAAAAGCTCAAACAAAATAAAGATACGAACAAATCAGACTGCATCGTTAAATGAACCACAAAAGGGAATGAAGTTATTGAAAGACCACCGACAAATCTCAAATCAGAGTCGAGCGACGTAAGAAAATTATCCACGAACGCAAAACGTGTATCCAAATCAATCAGAGAGTCCAAAGTAGGGAAGATTAACATGATAATAAATAAGCGTCATCTTGATCAGTCGTGGCGATGTCAAATCCAACCCTGAGAAAAAAAGATAAACGAAAAATAACGGCAAAAATCCGTAAGCTACCAAAAGGCAGAGAAAAATGTGCTACAAAAGCAGAGAACATGTCACAAAGACATAATTATTCTTATTAAAAAAACTAAAAAAACAAAGAAATAAGATAACCGGCGGGAGGCTACCAACATTAAAATTGGTGCCATCGTCGGTTAAATAAAATTAAAGAAAAAAAATTGGATTGATCAATAAAATTGATATAAATTTTAAAGAAGAAAAAAAAGGACAGCTAGGGTTTTTTTCCTATAGAATATTTTTAAAAAATACAATATTTTTTTAATGAAATGTAAAATATTTTAACACTTAAAATATAATTTATTCTTCATTTAATCTTCTATGTATCACTCATTAACTGAGCCCAAATAGTAATTAGGCCTAATTATCAATTATACCATTCATATTTGAACAAATAAGTAGATATTAATTAATTTTATTTCCTTATTCATCAAAAGATAATAGTGTGACTATTTTTAAATTTTTATTATTATCCTTATTTTATTGATCATTTATATAATGTAAAATTCGAGATTATAAATGTAGAAAAAAAAGTTGAAACTATTAAGCGAATTGGATGAGGTGACTATCTGAAGCTACAAAGCAGTGAATGCAATCATCACACGTCCCAAATACCGTGCTGTAACATTATAGTAGAAGGATCAGGGGATTGTTAAGCACTAAACACCAGGGTAAAGCAAACCAAATATGCTATTGGTCAAGCATTACACTCTAAGTTCCATGGACAAAAGATAACTAGTTTCAGAGGAAGCTTAAGCATTTCCGACTTTACATGATCCGGAGCTTTTTACGCCGGTGAACACAATAACCGAAACAGACAGAAAACCAAAAGATTCTAGTATTTACAGACGGAGAATGCCACCTCTTTTATTTGCATTCGCCTGGTAGGCTTGACATGCTAGTGGCCTGGGCGGATGTGGCCTTGAATTGGTGATATGGTGAAGCTCATGCTCATGTTCGTGCTCGTGCTCGTGCAGGTTACCATTCAAGGTTCTTGGTGCCTCTAGCATTTGTCTGTCAAGACCATGCCTCACTCTTTCTAGACCATAATATCTTGCATCAAAATCAGACCACAATCTTTCAGGATATGCCACTTTCCGCCCATATTTTTGGATCAAACCCTTTAAGACCTCAAAGTATTGATTCCCATTGGGGATGGTAGGAGGCAACCCAACAGGCAGAGGGGTGTGATTCACAATATGATAACTCTGAGGATAGTTGAAATCAGAAGTTGGCTGCGGCTGCATTGACCTTGGAATGGTTTCGAAATGCCGAGATTTTTCACTGAACCCCGGTCTTGTGGTTGCTTTAGCCTCTTTCATAGCTCGAGGGCAAAAGCCGAATTTGAAGGTACTGCTCTCACCAAGATGGAAGGGTACATCACAATCTGGACCAACCCCTCTCTTGTTTTGATAACCTGGATAATCTTTTATGTTAAAATCTACACATTGAATCAATGCCAGATGGAATTTACTAGCTAATTCCTCAAGATTCCATATGCAATATGGAGTGCTGGTTTTATGGTTTACATGAATTTCTCCATTAACTCGTAGCATACCACGTTCCCTCCGAAAGAAATTGCATACAAGCTCCCTATGCAATATAGTGTATAATTTTGAAATAAGCCCATTGTATGAGATTTAGTGGTACAATTAGCTTGCCAAGAAGTGGAGTGTTATTGATCGATCATATAGGGGTACATTTATGTACATTATAGTTGTTGGATACATTTATGTATTCGGGATTATAGGTATAGTGTTGTTGTGTTTTACAGTACATGTACATTCATTGGAAACCTATGGTGTAATCACAGGACACTTTATGTGTAAATTATTCACATGCAATTATACTACACATAGCATAGAACATTCAAACATAGACTCATGTACCATGCATTCTCATAATTGTACATTGGGTTGTGATATGATTTGAAATAGAATAGTACAGTTTAAATACATGTTACTAGCACTTGATTCTGATCTTGACAAAGTATCTTTATTTTTTATAGGGAAGTAGTGGCAGGTTAATGAACGTTGCTCTTGTTGAAGAATCAAACCTAGAAAGTTCTAGACTCGATGAAGAACAAGGGGATGAATAGTAGAAGGTGGCTACCTTATGAAGGTGAACGATAAAGATGATAATGGTGAGGATGGATTTTTGGAAAATAGATGGATAAGTGTCCTATCGAACCCTCCTAGTCACAATGAAACGGCAAACTTGATAATATGACTCTAAGTGTCTTATCGAACCCTTATAGTCGCAATGAAAAGGCAAACTCGATAATATGACTCTACCAACCCTCCTAGTCGCGAAGAAAAGGGAAATTGGAATGTGAAGATTAATCTCCTTCACAATTGCTTGAAAGAACTCCAAGAGAAGAAGCTTTGAAGGCACAAGGCAATCAACACTTGCAAAAACGAACCATCGTTGTATTATTAATCAAAAAAATCTGTTTTACAGAGTTGAATGAAGCCTCTTTTATATAGAGACTGAGTTCTAAAAATCCTAAATAACTAATGAATAAAATAATAACAAACTAAACATGTCTTAACTCTAATTTCTAATAAAATAATAATAACTAAAAATAATGTTTTAACTCAAACTTAATTCCTAATAAAATAATTGTTGAACTATGTTTCGATATAACAATTTAAGGCAAAATGGTTTTTGGACTTGAATTGAATTTACAAAATGTATTTGGACTTAATTGAATTTATTCAAAATTTACAAAAATAATTCAAAGTTATTTTAATTTAAAATTGAGCACAAAAATGTTCATCAGCCCAACGGTCATAATATTTGAATATTATGAAGGGGTATCGATTCCCTATGAAGGGGTACCGATTCCCACCATTCTGGGCAGCCTATTTTTGCAGAAAAATCATTCTCAAACGGCTCCAAAACATCCCCAACGGCTAGATATGACTTCAAACACATTCCAAGCTATAAATACAAGCTAAGGACACTTGAAGAAGATATAGAACAACTATCCAAGCAATCAAACACAAGAGAAGAATTTTTCATTCTTATTTCATCTTTCTCTTGTATATATTTTGTTCTTGTGAACTCAATCTTGTAAACACCTACCTTAGAGAAGTTTTCTTGTTTACATTTCTTATCCTTTTGTAAAGGGGAAAGGTTCTAGCTTAGCCCGTGTAAAAGCTAGGGAAAGGTTCTAGTTTAGCCCGGAAAAACTAGGGAGTTTGTAAGGTTACTCTTTATCCTCAAAAGAAAGAACAAATTAGTGATTTTTTTTGGAAAATCCTTGGTGAGGAGCTAAGGTAGTGGACGTAGACTTTGATTGAGAAAGTCGAACCACTATAAATCGTTGTGCAATTCTCTATTTTTCAATCTCCTTACTCCCTGAACACAAAACCGTTCCGACCCCTCTTTGCAAACCGTTCCGGTTGTCGATTCGAGCTTCCGAAAATCCTAACAATAATAAATCTAATCCTAAAAGATAATGCACCATCCTATATTAAATTAAATTATAAATAATCAATATAAATAGTGAAAATTCGTAATATTTACAAAATCACGTATTAATCTCGTATAAGAATTTATGCATGTGATGTCTTCACTAAAATGAACATATCTTGAGTTCCTGATATCATATTGATGCGATTCAAGAACCGTTAAAAAGATAAGAGACAGAAGATTGTATCAGACATGTTGACCAAATAAGATCATGATCTCATTCAAAAATTTGTCATAAGTCTGCTTCTGTTCTGGTCTTATTGTTCAAGGCTTGGACGAGTGGATCATTTGGAAGAGTTATTACTTCTTCCTTTGATGTAAGCCTTGTGATTAGGGATGCACAAAGTCGGATTTAAATCTGATCTGGATCGGATAAAAACCGATCCGTTTTTTCACCTAGCCAAAAAACCAGATTTTAAAAAATCGGTTCGGATCATAACCGGTTTGGAGGACCGGATGGTGTAACCAGTTTTTAATTCGGTAAAAAAACTGGTTGTCCAATTTTTTCCCAAACCGGTTATATTAACAGCTAGTTTTTAAACCCCAGACCGGATTTTTTTCGGATAAAAAATCTATTTTTTATCCGGTTTTTTCAAACCGGTTTTAATCTGGTAAAAAACCGGTCGTCCAATTTTTCCCCAAACCGGTTATACTATCCGATTTTAAAAATATCCGATCCGGTTTAAAAAAACAAGTTTTTCCCAAATCCGGTTTCAGATATTTTTTGCGCAAAATCGGATATTTGGATTTTTTTGTGCACTCTACTTGTGATGCATGTATCAATTTTATAGTTGTTTTATTTTTATAATGTTTTTATATTATGATATGTTGAACCATGTTTTATAATGTTTTGATATAACAAATTTAGATAAAATGTTTTTGGACTTAAATTGAATTTCAAAGTTTCAAAAATAATTCAAAGTCCATTAAAATAAAATTTGAGTACAAAATAGATTTTCATGGTATGTAGTACCGATACTGTTCTTACAGTATCGATACTATATAAATAATACCGATATTGTTCATGTAGTATCGATACCAAATGTAAAAGAAGTATCGATACTCTCCAGGTAGTATCGATACTACCAAGTGTTTTTCAAATAGCTCAAATTCCAGAATGCAAAATAGGTACCGATAATCAAAGGAGTATCAATACCATGAGTATAGTATTGATACTTGTCAGGCTCAATTACTAGTAACGGTTAGTTTATTTAAATATTATAAAGGAAGTATAGATACTCCATGTCCTGTGCAGTTATATTTTGCTGTGTTTTTATCCCCAACGGCTCCAAATCATCCCCAACGACTAGAAATGGCCACAAACAAATTCCACCTATAAAAACAAGTTAAGGACACTTGAAGAAGGGTGAGAAAACCTATTCAAGCAATCAAACACAAGAGAAGTGCTTTTAATTCTTATTTTTCTCTCTCTTGTAAATAGTTGTGTTTTTGTGAGCTTAATCTTGTAAACACCTACCTTGTAAGGGTTTTTTGTTTACATTTTTTTCTTTTTCTAAAAGGGGTTTTGGTTATAGTTTATCCAAGTAAAAAACTAGAGAGTTGTAAAGGTTATCTCTTTGTCCTGAAAAAAAAACAAATTAGTGGATTTGTTGGAAAATCCTAAGTGAGGAGCTTAGGTAGTGGATGTAGACTTAGTTGAGAAGCCGAACCACTATAAATCCTTGTGCATATTTTTCTATCTCTTTATGCTCCTTACTCCCTAAACCCAAAAATCCAATTCACCCCTCTTGGCAAACATTGTCAGTTATCAATCGAGCTTGGTATCAAAGCTTGACTCGTTAGAAGGTTTAACAACATTGAGACGATCCTTGAAGAAGCTCTATCAGTTCCCAATGCAATCGAGAAGCTGGCTTCGACCTCCGACTCTTACTACATTGAAGACTTTCAACCGGTCAACAAACCACCTTATTTCAATAGAGCAAATTATGCTTATTGGAAGAATAGGATGATGTTCTTCATTCAAGCCAATGATCTAGGAGCTTGGAACTCAATCATGAGAGGATACTCCATTCCAACCGGTGAGATGGATGATTGGAGTGATAGAGAGAAGAAGAAGTTCTAACTTAATGCTAAGGCTATGCACATTCTATTTTGTGCATTAGGCCCATATGAATATGAAAGAGTCTCCTTTTGTTCTAATGCCAAGGAGATTTGGGACAAGCTCCAAATTACCCATGAAAGAAACGATGAAGTGAGGGAAACCAAAACCAGTATTCTCAACCATAGCTAGGAGTAAGGGTGTGCATTATCGGATATCGGATATTATTCGATCCAAATTTTTGGATATTCAGAAATTTCAAATACCTAAAGTAATGATCCGTATCCGATCCGAAATTTAGGATATCCGAATATTCAGATCCGAATCCGTTTTTTAAATTAAAAAATAACACAATAAAAGCATTAATCAACATAAAATTAAAAGTTTAAGTACTAAAACTGATAATTTAGATACTAAACGCGTAAATTATCCCATTGTTATTCACAATCTTATACTAAAATAGCCCATTTAATAAGCATAAAATTATTGCTCCACTTCACTCTTAAGACAACAATAGAAGACAATTGCAACCAACTTGAAAAAAAGGAGTTGGAACATTCTGTGTAAACCATGTAATTAAATAGCTCCACTTCAAACGTATTTGAGGACTGCATTATATTTTGATTTATGAAGCAATCTAAGGTCATGAACAATGAGGACTCGGTGCAGCAGACAAACTCCCCATGATTTTGTTTTGCAGTTGAAAATTTTCACCATTTGTTCATTGTTTATTTCTTCATTCTTTCCCCATTTTTTGTTGGCTGCCTTTACTTGTCCAACTTGTGTTTCAAGCTATGTAAAATACAAGCTAGAATCCAGAAATCTATACATGATGCATATTAAAATAATAATATTTATTTGATTAATGCCATAAAAATCAACATAAATTAAAATACATATAACAGACCTTTCTAAAAAACATAGTAAAAGCAGAAAAACAATAGGACCAATCTTCACAAGATGTTCATATTAAAAATACCACACAAGAGTATCAAATCTCAATAACACAATCAAATCAACACAAGATGTTCAAAATAAAATACCACACAAAAGTATCAAGTCTTAATAACATAAAAAAAGAGATAGTAGGATCACTAAGTACTTCAAAATTTCAAAGTACAAAATTTACAAATCATCCAAAGTATTAATTGTCTCATCAATTATGATCTCTGATTGCTCTAAAGTTAGATCCTTCATGGTTGCATCACACGAAATAAAATAAAAAAGATTAAAATATAAATTTATGTTTAAACTTTAAATATTGAATAAACAAAAAAGAAGCAATCAAACATAAAAATAAACTTTCCTTCCTCCAACTCTTCCAATTCAATTAAATTTTCTTTTATTATAATAGGTGACCGAGAGGTGCGTAACCAATCTTGAGTGCAAACAAGTGCTTCAACCATTTTTGTATGAATGATATAAAGTGTGAAATGAGGATCCTAGGCATCCATGCCTTATTGGTAAAATTTACAAATTCACTAATACGATTCTTCTAACATGTGAAGTATGTCTTGGCCTGGTAGTGATTTATATAAAGTCCGTTTAAGAAGTACTAAACTCCTAAATGAGGAACTTACCTAATACCAGTAGTAAAGTTTGAGCTCTGTTTTCTATGAATGATATGCCTTATTATTATTGTATTTGGGATATTTTTTCATACTTACAGGTATCTTACAATAGGAATCCCTCATTTTCAGTATTAAATGAAAGAAACTAAATGCAAAATATGATGTTCTCTAATGAGACATTTTATGTGTACTTTACCAAATCTTTCATTTCAATCTTCATGTTCTAATCCTTGTGTTATCCCCACTTTGGTGGTTATGGAATGCAATAACTATTTGGTGGTTATCCCCAGTTTCCAAATTAATATTCTACTTTGCTGGTTACTGTGTTGAAGAGGAAGCAAAAATGCCCAAGCTCAACTTTTGAGGCAAAAACAAAAAAGTGATGAAGCACCAAGGAGACTTCAAGATGAGATTCACATAATCAAATCTTAGAAGGTGAATCTCAATCTTAAACTCTCATATTTTCATCTTAAATACTAAAATTGCTTCTGTTTAGGATTCTTGCAACCAATACCAATGCAAACGTCCATTTTTTAGGTTAAACTACAACATAAGATCAAGCAAGAATCCAATCAGTTTAGGTTACTTGCAAGCACTAAACTTTACAAGAAAATAAAATTATAGTATTTGAGATTAGACAAATCTGAGATTAGACAAATCTGAGATTAGACAAATCTAAAGGGGAAATGGAAGCATTTGCAGTATTTGTTGTTCATTATGCTTTTTATATGCAAAATTTATGCAAAACGTGAAATTTTGAATACCTCAAAAGTTTAAGTGGTTAGATCTTACCCTATAAATAGATCCAAAACAACCTTCACCGAGCTTCTGATGATTGTGGAAATTGTTGGTAGCAGCAACTAAAATTTCGAAAGGAAAATGCTTTGAAGGGCGCCAAAGTCAAGTAAGAATGTAAGAGAAATAATCAGGGGAATGAGAGTAGGGGACGATGAAAAATAGAGAAATGAAATGAGGGTTTGAAATAATCAAGTGAAATTTCGGGCGAGAAGTAAAACAAGGAAATTGTAGAACAAGGTTTGACTAATGTCTAATATAGACCAAACAGCTATGGGCTAATAATATAGCCCAATTTTTTTCTTCGGATTTTTGGATAATCTGAAATTGGATTTTGATCGATCCGTATCCAATTCAAAAATCTGAAGAAAAAAAATTCTGATACCCGATCAAACTATCCAAAAATTGAAAAAACAGATCGGATATCCGAATTTTCGGATCAGATCAACGGATTAACGGATCAGATCGGTCAGATCGGGTTTTTTTGCACACCCCTAGCTAGGAGAATTTCAAGATGAAATAGGATGAAAACTTCAAAGCTATGATGGATAGATTTTCCGTGATTGTCAACGGTCTCAAGGGATTTGAAGAAGTAATCCCTAATAAGAAGCTTATGAGGAAGATGATCTATTCTCTTCCAAAGTCTTGGCAATCGAAGACAACGATTATCAAAGCTAAGAACCTAAAGTCTCCCACTCTTGATGAGCTTATTGGTTCTCTTCTCACTCATGAATTGATGGTGAAGGAAGAAGAAGAAGATGAAGAGAAGAAAAATAAGAAAAATAATGAGGTAGGCATTGCCTTTAAATCCACCAATGAGAGCAATCAAGACTCAAGTGAAGAGGTGGATGAATACGATGATGATGAAGAAGAAGAAATGGCCAAGCTCTTTAAATGAATTGATGGTGAAGGAAGAAGAAGAGATGAAGAAAGAAAAATAAGAAAAAATGAGGTAGGCATTGCCTTTAAATCCACCAATGAAGCAATCAAGACTCAGTGAAGAGGTGGATGAATTGATGGTGAAAAGATGAGAGAAGAAAAATAAGAAAATAATGAGGTAGGCATTGCCTTTAAATCCACCAATGAGAGCAATCAAGACTCAAGTGAAGAGGTGGATGAATACGATGATGATGAAGAAGAAGAAATGGCCAAGCTCTTTAAAAGTTTCAAGAGATTCATGACTTCCAAGGAAGTGAAGCATGAATCAAGCAAAAAGAAGAGTCCCCCGGTGTGCTTTAATTGTCAAAGAATAGGGCATGTCAAGTATGATTGTCCCTTCCTAAAGAAGAAATGATCAAGTAAAAAGAAGACATTTATGGAAGCTTGGAGTGATGAAGATGACTCTAACGATGAAGATTAAGTAGTCAATCTATGCCTCATGACCATCGAAGAAGATTTTGAGGTATTCTCTAACTCTTGTGATTTAAATTCTTATTCATTTAAAGAGTTACAGGTTGTCTATGATGAGTTGTATTTGGAATTTGAGACCATGAATTCCAAATATAACAAATTAATTTCAAAATTTAAAGTTGAAAATGATTTGATTTTGAAAGCAAAAGTTGATTTTGAAAAACAAAATGAAACTTTAAAAAATGATTTAGATCTTTCAAAAATCAATGATTTAGAAAAAGAAAATTTTTATTTGAAAGTTAAGCTTGAAAGCTTAACAAAAGAAAGAAAAAAAGAATTAATTTTTAAAAACAACTCATTATGTTTAAAAATGACAAAATGCTCATATTGCCATTTTCATGGTCATATGGAACATACTTGTCCTATAAAGAAAAGAAAATCTTTTAAAATTAAACAAGTATGGGTTCCAAAATGAGCAAGGGCATTGAAATGAATGAATAAGGATCCAAAGCAATTTGGATACCAAAATCTACATAAATGTCTCTTGTAGGTGTGTGAAAGGAATGGTGATGAAAGTAAAGATATTCAAATGCTCTAGGCTCAATTGAAAAGGAATAGGTAACCTCTAAGCTTATTTTGATTATCTTGCATAATTGGTTGCTCATTTAGTTTAAGCACGCATGAGTTTTGATTTTAAATAATTTTATGTTTTCTATCTTATGTATGTTAAAAAGTGTTGTGATGCACATTTTCTAAAGTTTTAATGATTTTTCAAAAACACTTGCTCATCATAATGAATTTTGGTTAAAAATTGATTTTAATGCTTTGTTTTTACAATTTTTAATTTTTTGACCTTAATTTAAATGCTTATGCATGTGATTTATTGCAAATGATATCTCTCTAACAATTGATATCAATTTTTCAAATGCATAAAAAAATTAGATAGCTTTATGCACATGCACTTAAATTCAACAATTAGTATTGCATAAAGTATATTAGACTTAGATATATTGAATTTCATATGCTACTAATATGTTTGTTCATCTTTGTTGAAATTCAATTCTTTTGTGTCAAGTTTTTAAAGTCAAAATTTTATGCTTTTTAATACTCTCTATTGTTATTTTTGAAGTTTCAAGTTGAATTATTTTTTATACAACAAAAAATAGGAGAAGTATGGGTTTGAAAAATTTAAGTTTGAAAAATTCAATTTCAAAAATGAAAAAGGGGGAACTTTAACATTTTCCAAATATTTCTCTTTTTCATTAAATGTTTTATTAAGGGGGAGTTTTATCAAAACCAATTTTTCAAATGTTTTGTTATATCAAAAAAGGGGAGATTGTTGAACCATGTTTTGATATAATAAATTAAGGTAAAATGTTTTTAGACTTGAATTGAATTTTTTCAAAGTTTTCAAAAATAATTCAAAGTCTATGAAAATAAAATTTGAGCACAAAATAGATTTTCTGGGTATGTAGTACCGATACTATTCTTACAGTATTAATACTATATGAATAATATTGATATTGTTCATATGGTACCGATACCAAAGGTAAGAGAAGTATTGATACTCTCTAGGTAGTATCGATACTACCAGGTGTTTTTCAAATAGCTCAAATTCCATAATGCAAAATAGGTACCGATACTCAAAGGAGTATCGATACTACTTTACATAGTAGTATCGATACCATGAGTATATCATCGATACTGGTCAGGCCAAACGACTAGTTTATTTAAATATTATATAGGAAGTATCGATACTCAGTAAAAGAGTACATATAATCCCTGTCCTGAACAGTTTTTGTAACACCCCAACCCGTAATCGACCCAGATACGAGTCCGAGGTGTCACATTGACTTTTCAAAACTTTTACTTTGACGAAATCTAATAAAAATTCATTTTGACATTTCCAATAAAACTAAATAATTTCTATTTTAAAAAACATATGGTTTTACAAAACTTATCAGAGCGTATCAAATACAAATCTTTTATCTTACATGCCAACTACCTTTCATATAACAAAATACATATAATTCAAAACTTTTCTGATCTGATCTTTAGGAATGAGAAGCTGACCTGACCTGCTCATCTTCGATCCCTTTTCCTCTTCTCGGAACATACGTGTGAAACACTCACACGCTAAGTCATTGACTTAGTGAGACATATAAATATTTAATGTAAACTGTAACTAATTATTAAAAACATGTACATCTCATGTAACATAACATTATATGTGTATACATACTTACACCCATCATTAACAAGCTTATCATTACTTATTTTATCATTACTAATTCCCTTTTTATCGTATGAGCGTATATTTGACATAAACATATAATGTAAACTTTAAATCTCACCAATGCATGAACCATTACCAATGTCATATCATATACAAACACATATCATCTCATATAACAATACACTTATGTACTTATTTTATCATCCTCATTTTTATTATCCTATGATCCTGAACTTATCATTTATAGACGTCATATAACACAAATACCATTTCAAAAAGGAACACACATAATATCATATCAAGTTCTTTATTATCTTTAAAGCCCATGTATACTTCTGAGAACTTAAGGTATACGAGTACTATGAGGTTGTGCACACATATGTTGTCACCACAGCTTGTATAAAATCCACTAAATGGCATATGAAATCTGTGTCTCGAAGGACCTATCCATATGTTCCAGAGAACATCGATAACTGTCCATATGTCCAGAAGAACATAGGTAATCCTGTCTATATGTCTCAAAAGACATAGGTAAACTGTCCATATGTCTCGAAAGACATAGGTAACCCTCAACTCTTGTCATGCCAACTATACCTATCGCTCTCATATCACATAACATGGATATTCTCTTTTATATAATTTCACGTATTCTTATCACATAGGCAGCTAGCTTCTTATCACATATCTCATATCACATGTCACATTGCTCATATCTTTTTATTTATATTATATTTTATCCTTTTATATTTATATAAATCACATACATATAATACATACAAGGCATATTCACTCAAACATGTATTCACACCAATCACATATAAAAATACACTTAGCTCTAAACATATGCATGAATTCAAGCACATCAAAATATCATATTCCTATATGCTTATTTTCACATACTCATGTAACCTAATATCGGAATTAGACTTATCACAAGTCTTAATTCCATAACATAATTTATACTTACTATCATGTACTCACCTGGTCTCAATGAACACTATCAAGCTCTTGTTCTTTCTTTGCGAATCTTACTCTGCCGACCTATCTGAACCTTGTTTTCGATCAATGTCTACACAATCAAGTATTGATACATATCGGTATTTCAATTACTATAATTATACCTTTAATCTCTTAGACTAAACGAAAAGTCTATTTTCAATTTCATTTTCATGTATCGATACACACTATAGGATATCTATACATCCCTTCACTAGTGTATCGGTACACTGCCTATGTATCGGTACACAAATTACATTCGAAATTTCTCATTTCAAGGGGGTATCGATACATTACCTATGTATCGATACACTTTAAACATTTTCCTGGATTTTATCCTTGATGTATCGGTACCTATTGAATGTGTACCGATATACCTTGCCCAGAAATTACCTCTTGAGCCCGGAAATTCACTCAACTCAAATGCTTCATATTTCATCCCCTTTTATATTCCAAACTTACATATACATGCTTAACCTCAGAAATATTCATTTATCCCATATTTAACCTCAATATACTATCCTCTTTATAAAATTCAAGAATCATACTCAAATTTAAACATGTTCTAAATTCAATTCTTACACTTCATATCTCTTAATTCCACTATTGACAAGTCAGGTTCTTCATTAGAACTTCAAAAACCTCTTTATATCAAAAGTTATTACTAAACCCTTAATCAAATTTCCTTTCTAATTCTCTTTTCTTAATGTTGTAAGCTTATATAAGCTTACGTTAAGCTTATATAAGCTTACGTTAAGCTTATATAACACCCAATTACTCCAACCCAACTTATAAATTCAAGAAATTAACCAACTGAATCAAACTTACCTTATAGACTTGAGCTTGAACACACGGGAAGAAGAAAGGAAGAAGAATAAGAGCTTCCAGACAACTCTTCCCTCTTCCACGTGTTTCACTCATATTTAAGGGGGAAATATCTTTTAAGCTAAAATTACCATAATGCCCTTCAATCATTACATAATTACAATTTATTCCAATTCTAAAATATTCCTATTTAACTCCTTGACCTTATCAATTTTCCTAAATTGCTCTCCATATTTAAAAAATTCCCATTTTAGTCACTGACCCGGTATTGAGGATGTTACAGTTTTATTTTGCAGAGTTTTTATCCCCAACGGCTCCAAATTATCCCCAATGGCTAGAAACAGTCACAATCACATTCCAACCTATAAAAACAAGTTGGGGACACTTGAAGAAGGGTGAGAACACCTATCCAAGCAATCAAACACAAGAGAAAAGCTTTTAATTCTTATTTTCCTTTCTCTTGTAAATAGTTATGTTTTTGTGGGCTTAATCTTGTAAACACCTACCTTGTAAGGGTGTTTTTTGTTTACATCTTTTTTTCTAAAAGGGGTTTTGGTTCTAGTTTAGCCAAGTGAAAAACTAGTGAGTTGTAAAAGTTATCTCTTTATCCTTGAAAAAAGAAAGAACAAATTAGTGGATTTGTTGGAAAATCCTAAGTGAGGAGCTTAGTTATATAGTGGATGTAGACTTAGTTGAGAAGTCGAACTGTTAGGATCGAGTCATTCATTTATGAATAACTTCCCAGTGGGTCACCCATCCTTGGATTTCGCTAGTCCAAGCACGTTTAACCATAAAGTTCTGAAGCGAATGATCACTATTCATTCTTAAAACTAATTGGTGATAAGTAGGTGGAAATTTTAACCTCATATCTTTGTAGTGGGTGATCACTGGGTTCCTCCAAGCTAAGGTGGATTCTTATGGGGAACCTCCCACAGTTCACCACGTCATTGTTGAGCCCCGTATCTATAGCGTACTGTAGGCGGGCCTAGGGGATTCGCAAGGCACACGCGGGCCTCGGCAGGTTGGGCAATCACGCACCGATATCGCACCCATACTACACTGATTCATTTACAAGTTTACTAGATTGAAATTTTATGATGTTAAAAAATTTATAGATCCCATGTCACATTCAGTAAAAAATTATTATACATGTATAGGGTGTACTCAATGTGTCCGAGATAATCACCCCCCAGCGACACCTGGGAGATTCGAACCTGCAACATACTCTGATACCAGTTGTTAGGATTGAGTCATTCATTTCTGAACAACTTCTCATTAGGTCACCCATCCTTGGATTTCCCTAGTCCAAGCACGCTTAACTACAGAGTTCTGAAGCGAATGATCACCATTCATTCTTAAAATCAATTGGTGATAAGTAGGTGGGTCATTTTAACCTCATATCTTTATAGTGGGTGATCACTGGGTTCCCCCAAGTCAAGGTAGATTCTTGTGGAGAACCCCCACAGTTCACCACAGCATTGTAGAGCCCCGTATCTATAGCGTGCTGCGGGCGGGCCTAAGGGCTTCACAAGGCACACATGGGCCTCGGTAGGTTGGGCAGTCACGTATCGATATCGCGTCCATACACGATAGAATCCCTAAGGGTGATCGCTGGACCCCATAACCCAACACAAACTACTATAAATCCTTGTTCATATTTGCCTATCTCTTTATACCCCTTACTCCCTAAACTCAAAAAGCCAATTCACCCCCTCTTGGCAAACATTGTCGGTTATCAATCGAGCTTCGAATATTCTAACATGATATTTGCTTTATATGTTTTTATAGAAATGTTATTTTAATTGTTGTCTCATTAAGTGGAAAACTTAGTGTGTGATTGGTTTACACGTAGGTAAAGCAAAATTAACGGAGTAAGGAGTCAAACAGGACATCCCATATTTTGCTGACCAAATCAGACATCTAGATTCAATATAGTATTTTCTCGATGTTTTTGTTATTTTAGTTGGTATGTATATATTTATGTCTTTTGATGTTCCGATTCAAATATGTCTGAAATGCTTTTTGATTATATTATATATGCTTAGTTTTATAAATGCATATGAATAGTATTATATTAAATCGTATTTTAGTTTAGTTTAGATGAATTTTAATTTGACTATTTATTTAATTATTTTAATTATAAGGTTGATTTTAAAATAATTTTTTATAATTTTACAAATTTTCAAATAGCAAATATTTTATACGACTATGTGACACATTTGACTCGTCTACAGGTACATATATGAGTTAAGAGTGTTACATTGTTGTTAAAAGGTAAGTTTGCAAAGATAAAATGTCCATTATAGATATAATGTTGTAAATTAAAAAATATAACATTTAAATTATATTTACACTTATTAATACTATGATATATAAAATATATCAACTTGAAATGACATGGAATATTGATTTACGAAATGTCATAGTAGAGACAGACAATAAAGAAGTATTCAAACTTTTGATGCAATGTGCGTTGATGGATAGAGTATCACTAATGGTACCATATGTCGTCTAGTTAATTCAGCAAAAGTGGCAGTTACATTTTGAACATATTTTGAGAGAACAAATCGGAGTTGTCGACGGATTCAAAAAAATGGCATGGAACCTCCCATTCGGGCTGCACAACTTTGAAGACCCTCACGCGGAGATAGGAAACCTATTGATGAACGATCGAAAAGGAAACATAGTAATCTAGCTTAGATATTTTCTACCTTAGTGTACTAAAAAAACATTTTAAGATAACTCAATAATAATATTTTAATATATGAAATATTTTATTAAAAATATATTATCAATACTTTTTAACACGTGGATATAAAATTATTATGAAATAATAATTTAAATAATTGTTTTGAAAAAAAGAATATTATAACAAAATATTAGTAATTAAAATAAATTATTAAATGATACAATTTTCAAGGATGTTAGTATTAAATTATTAAAATAAAATATAAATAAATAATTGAGTGGAACTCATGCACTAGTAAATGTAAAAATTATAATTTGCTTTCAAACACAAAGTTAAAACTGAAAAAGTTAGAAATTCTAGTTTTTGTGATTAGTTTAAAACCCCGTTTCCACCATAATTTTTTTTTTTAATTTTTACTCATTTGACATTGATTTTACAATCGAAACGAGACTTTTACCTAAATTACTTTTAGAAAGTTATGTCAAACGAAACTTAATATTAGGAAATTTTCACAAATTTTCATTAATCCCTTATTTCAAACATGCACATCAAACCCATTAATATACTTATGGTTAAATCAAGAGGAAATCAAGATTAGTTGAAATAAAAATGGGTTTTTGTTGAACCATGTTTTATAATATTTTGATATAACAAATTAAGGCAAAATGTTTTTTGGACTTGATTGAATTTGTTCAAAGTTTTCAAAAATAGTTCAAAGTCAATTCATGTGGCACCGATACTAAAGGTAACAGAAGTATCGATACTCTCTAGGTAGTATCGATACTACCAGATGTTTTCCAAATTGCTCAAATTCCAAAATGCAAAATAGGTACTGATACTCAAAGGTCGATATTACTTTAAACAGTGGTATCGATACCATGAAGCATAGTATCGATACTGGTCAGGCCCAACGACTATTAACGGCTAGTTTATTTAAATATTACAAAGGTAGTACGATACTCATTAAAGGCGTATCGATACTCCCTATCGTGGGTAATTTTATTTTGCAAAAAATTAATCCCCAACGGCTCCAAAACATCCCAACGGCTAGAAATGACCACAAACTCATTCCAACTTATAAAACAAGTTGAGAACACTTGAAGAAGGGTACAACACCTATCCAAGCAATTGAGATCAAGAGAAAATCTCTTTCACTCTTTATTTTTCTTTTTCTCTTGTACATATTTGTTTGAGCTTATTGTAAATCTTTTAATTGTTTTCTTCTGAGCTTAAATCTTGTAAACACCCTATTTTTGAGAGGTTTTCTTGTTTACTTCTTTCAACCTTTGTAAAAGGAGATTGGTTCTAGCTTAGCCTTTGAAAAGCTAGGGAGTTGTAAATGTTATCTCTTTATCCTGCAAAAAGAAAGATCAAATTAGTGAATTTGTTAGAAAATCCTTAGTGAGGAGCTAAGGTAGTGGATGTAAACTTGGTTGAGAAGTCAAACCACTATAAATCCTTGTGCAAATTGTCTATCTTTTTATACTCCTTTCTCCCTAAACTCAAAAAGCCAATTCACCCCCTTTTGACAATTATTCGGTTGTTCAATTGAGATTCATATTAAATCCCAACAATTGATATCAAAGTTTGACTCATTAGAAGGTTTAACAACCTTGAGACGATCCTTGAAGAAGCTCTACCGATTCCTGACGCAACCGAAAATATGGCTTCGACCTCCGGCTCTTACTACATTGAAGACTCTCAACCGGTCAACAAGCCACCTTATTTCAATGGATACTCCATTCCAACCAATGAGATGGATGATTGGAGTGATGGAGAGAAGAAGAAATTCCAACTCAATGCAAAGGCTATGCACATTCTATTTTGTGCATTAGGCCCGGATGAATATGAAAGAGTCTCCTCTTGTTCCAATGCCAAGGAGATTTGAGACAAGCTCCAATTCACTCATAAAGAAACCAATGAAGTATATTTTGTTCTAATGCAAAGGCTATGCACATTCTATTTTGTGCATTAGGCCCTTAATGGGTTCGTCTTATACCAGTTCAAGTATATTTGATGCAAAAGCTGGAATAGGGCTGAGTGTTTCGTTCATGAATCTTGTTTCATGGTATGACTACGAGTGGGGTTACAGGTACGATTTCCTCTCTCATTCACACATCCAAACCTTTCATTACATGCGGGCACGTGCAGCCACATGGATACACAGACACACCAGACTGATGCATATATTCGGATAATCGTTCTGTATTTCGTAACGCGAAATACAAATCAGCTCGTCTAACAGTTTTCAAAATTTTATCGCGGCAATGGGGTTCTTGACCTAATAGAGCACATTTCACTGGTTTTAGCAACGCACAACTAATTTATTTGGGGAGGGATGCTACCGAGCACGCTAGGAGTTTGTTTTGGAGAATCGACACGAATTTCACAATAATTGAATTGTTTGTTTTTGTTTTTTGATTGCTTTTCCATGCAAGAGTTGAACATACCATAATACGTGCTTGAAAAAACGTAAATTCGAGCATCTTAAAGACTGTTATTTGTGGAAACATGGTTGTTGTATCATTTGACTTTATCGTTTTTTTGTCGAAGAACATTATTGGGTTGATTTGTTTGAAATTCCAAGGAAAATTATACAATCATTCTTCCAACACATGCACTCAACTACATCCACCTTTGAATGGTAGAATTGGCCCTTATAATCAAATTATTTTGATTATATCAACTTTAAATATAAGTCTCAACCAAGTAGTTAAAGGAATGATTGTTATTCTTAAAAGTATCAGGTTCAAGCATCAATGACCGTAGGATATTCGAGTGTTCAAATAATTGAGAGTTTTTAGAACAAATATTACTATTTGTACACATCTTTGATTAATAGAAAAATATAAAATACTCATCGGTACATTTAACAAATATAACCCATCATTAAAAAATATAAAAAAATCATTTTACATTAGTATTATTTATTAGTTTTCCTTTATTTAAAATTCAAAGATTTGCACGAATCAAGCGATTGTAGTGGATAATGGATGCTAGTTATCTCTATAGATTCATTGTCAAATAGTTGTGTGTCTTTCAAATAAATATTATCTATTAATCATCCACACTAATAAAAATATTCAAAGATTATTAATTAGAAATAATATTTAACAATACAATAAGATCTAATGATCATTAAATTTATCGAACTGTTACAAAATGATAATCGAGACATTATAATAAACTATAAGAGTTTGATATATTTAATGATAATTTTGTAACAATATGATAAAATTTAATGATCATCTTATAATGATTTGATAAATTTATGATAATTTCGTAATATTTTGATAAAATGTAATAATCATTTTAAAATTTATAAAAGTTTATTGACAAAACGATCATTTGATATAGTTCAGTGACCAATTATATAATTTACCTTAAAAATACTTAAACTGCATTGCGATCAGGTCCAGCCCAAGCCAAAGAAGAGAAAAGAAAGGGTTATTTAGGTAATCAGGGACCACAGGCAATATACATATAGATATAGCATAAAGCCCTAGTTCCCTTGAAAATTTATATATTGCGTTCTCTCCTCGCCGGCCGCAGCAAGAGGCGATCTCCGCCGTAGCACAGACAAATAAACAGAGACAATGGAGGCAGCTAGAACTGTTAAAGACGTTTCCCCTCATGACTTCGTCAAAGCTTACGCCGCACATCTCAAGCGTTCCGGCAAGGTATTTTTTCTCCACACTCTTATCCATTTAGAGATGTAATTAAGTTCGTTTCATAGTCTTTGATTCTGGATCTGCAATGTATCTTTGTTTGTCTTTCCTTAAGACTAAACTTTTTTTCTCCAAATTTTTATTTGTTCTTAAGATCGAGCTCCCTCCGTGGACTGACATTGTCAAGACTGGTAAACTAAAGGAGCTTCCTCCCTACGATCCTGATTGGTACTACATTAGAGCCGGTATGTGGATTTATAGCTAGCTTTATTGGCCGACGCTAATGCGGTATTGTGTGCAAATTTTTGATCTTATAAACACTATATCATGTTTCTTTTTAGCTTCCATGGCAAGGAAGATATACTTGAGGGGAGGTCTTGGTGTTGGTGCCTTTAGGAGGATTTATGGAGGGTCTAAGAGGAACGGGAGTCGCCCACGCCATTTCTGCAAGAGCAGTGGATCCGTTGCGCGCCACATTCTTCAGCAATTGCAGAATGTGAACATCATTGATATCGATCCTAAAGGGTGAATTTTCTCTACTACCATTGTTTTTGTTTGCAATAATCTGATTGCTACTGCAATTAATCATATTTTTGTGCTACGATAGTTGGTCATCCCTAACACCTAATGTAAATGAGAAATCAATCTGGCCTGTATTTGACCATGGTAGAGCGATACTATCCTTTGAATACATTGAACTAATCAATGTCGGATGCATACTTTATTGAACATTCACTCTCAAGTCTAACGACAGATTGTGAAAAATAGACCTTTTTCTTATGGAGAAACATTCACATTGATAAGTAAATTATCCATAGTTCGTCATTGTGTGTTAACTGCTTCTTTTTGCTTAAAGACGAACTAAATTCTGTGGTGTATCAGTGGAAGGAAAATCACATCGAACGGCCAGCGTGATCTCGACCAAGTAGCTGGAAGGATTGCAGTTGCCATCTAAGAAATTTTAAAAGAGCTGTTGTTGGAGGTTTTGTCGAATCAATTTTCGTGTTGGAACATCCAAAATTTTTTTATTTTAGTTTTGAAAAAACAATGTAGGGTGTGTTAAGTTTGATCATGTTGAACTTCTGAACTCCAATGGAGAATGTGTACTAGATGTTTGGTGTTCATCCACACTGGATTGTGCAGCATTGAAACCTTAGTTCTGTTGCAATTTTGTGCTTTATATTTACTTTATTTTTATGTTCAGGAGTTATACAATTGAATTATTAGGATATTTTTATTCATTCTAGGGAAGATGAATGCGATCCCTCTTAATTCTAATCTTCATCACACGTGAAAAATATAATTTCCAGGCCCCGAGAAGGAAACCCAGAAGATCAATTTAAAAGAAAATGCGTATATATAATCAAATATCAACAATCCAATGGAGTAAAAATGGGTATAATATGTCAATCGGAGTTCATATGAAAAACACCCGAGTTCTGCATCTTATTTTCAGAAAGACCACCTCAATCCATGCAGCAGCTTTCATCGTTTTTGGCTCCGATCAGTCACCGACTGGGCATTTGATATGATGCCGTTCTCGTTCAAGTATTCCACAAATTCATCTATGAGATACGGCCATGCGCCTTCAGCATCGTAATTTGATAGCAAAGGGTCTATTGTCTGCACCACAATACGGCATTAAAAGAATAGCACATGCACTTGGCACACATTGTTCAGTAACATGCACGAGCACATACAAATATAAAAGACATGCTGATACTCTTATTAACATTTTATACATGATAATAATGCGTAAAAGTATTATTATTTTTCGAGTTCTTTTAAAATTCATCTTAAATTTTCATTTTTACTTATAATGGGCCCTTGCCATTATTTACTTCAATTTAAGGCCTAACTAAGCTCAATAAATTTTCAAAATTAAATTTTTAGCTCAATATCTCAACAATACCATAATTACCACTTAAGCTACTAGCTTTCTCAATATTTACCATTTAATACTTAAACTTTACAAAATTTTAAAAATGGCTAAATTTCACATTCTAACTTCAATTTCAGCCCTCAACAGTAATTTCCAGCAGTGTACATCATTTATTATGTAATTATACATTCATCCCATAACTTTTCAAAATTGTCGAATATGTCCCTCAACTTTTGAAAAATTATAAAATGACCCAAAAATTTTATAAGGTTTGTAGAGCCTTCCAAATATCATTTCTAAGCAATGAGAATTATTCTACAATTTTTCCCAACTTATTTCCTCAAGGTCGAACCATAAATGTGTTAGGGATTCAATGTTTTTACTCGATTCAAGCATGAAACCAACCTCTATCTACATTATAAAATCTCTACAATCAAACCCCTAACTTAATTTCATCAAATCAAAATCTTTTCCCAAATATAGGGTTAGACCGAAATCAACATAAGCATGTATAGACATGTATAGGTGATTTTAATCGACAATCAAGCTTGTAAATGATTTTACAACCTCAATAACATTTAAATCTTTCATCAAATCATGAAACCCTAATATGAACATAAACCTTAGAATTTGGGATCTTTGAATACAAACCAAATTAGCATGCAATAATGGTACCAAATGATAGTGTTGTTCAAATAGAACAATTTTCTAGTTCACATCTCGATTCAAAATCCAAAGGAAACTGCTCAAAATTGAAAAAAAAAATTCTCTTACCTAGGTATGGGGAGCACGAAATGGAGCTGAAAAATAGCTTGGTTTCATGAAATTTCTCCTTAATTTCATATTAATTTACCTTATATTTAAGCTTAAATGAATATAATATTCGTTTAATAAGAAATGTCCAATTTGCCTTTAATGAACTTGATATTTACCTTAATAACAAGCCACATAAACCTTATAATCTTTATAAAGTCAAAGATGAACCAATTAATTCATCCTTTCCAACTTTACCCATGCAATCTTTCCAAAATTTCAATATTACCATTTTTCATCTAACGGTTCAAAATAAACATGGCAATAATTTCTCAAATTCAATTATCCATATTATTTTCCATCATTTTAACATGTATAAATAACATTTTAAAGCTTGATTTAATAACCTTCAATTTTTCCTGAAATTTTTATTCGATCCGATTTATCGAATTTTTACCGAGCTTTTATACTTTATAGCTTTTAACATAAATTCTGGATCCAAAATATATTTCCCAAAAAACCCCACACTTAAGGGTGAACTATATATTTACGTGCCAGATTACCTAATTTTTTAAAAATTATATTTTTAGTCCCTAAACTTTTCTAACTTTATACTTTGGTCACCAAACTTTAAAAATTTATGTTTTTGCCACTAATCAAAATTTGTGGTATTACATTCTAAATATAATATCCTATAATGAACTGAAAGAGCTTTTAAATTTTTGGATTGAATGAGTTTAATTTTTTTGAAGAAGTTGAAAAATGAATGAAACAAAAGTTTAGAGACAAATTGATATTTTATTAGAAATTAACTATTTTTTTCAAACATTTCACATCATTAGAATAACGAAAGTTAACAACTAAATGACCAAATTATAAAAATTGATAATGTAAATGATTGAAATATAACTTTTGATTTTTTATTATCAATATTAAATAAAAGTAAAATAAAAGTGACCAATATAGTAGTTTACCCAACTTAGAAAACATTTGGGGATAAAGATCCTTGGCATCTTCTATTGTTCCAACTTATAATTTTCAATACCAAATAAAGAAAAGACCTCAAATTTGGTCCAAGCCACGTTCAACACTTAAAAAACACATTTCATTGCAACCTTTAAAACCACTTATTCTGTTCCCAAACTTCACAAAATCAGGCGAAACACGCCAGTCACACACAAACTTGCCCCAAAGAAATCGAAACAAAAGGGCCTCCCCCAATGGCTTTTGTGCTACCAAATCTTTCTCCTTCCCTTCTTCATCTTCAATCCAAAACTTGCTCCAAAGAAAAACAACCCCTTTTTGCCCAAAGTTCAAAGCTTTGCTCTCAAACTCTAACTGTTCAATACCCAACACTTGGAGGCTCCCAGGTAAGCTCTCCCCCGCTTCATCAGGACAAGCTCGACCACTCCCGGCCAGAAAGAGACGACTTTTATGTAAACCTTGGACTTGCTGTTCGGACTCTTCGTGATGATTTGCCTTTGCTTTTCACCAGAGATCTTAATTATGACATTTACAGGTAATTTCTTCTTCTGGGATGTTTTTTTCTGTGTTTTTCGTCATTCAGTGATTTGGGTTTTATTTTGTTTTTGAATATTTTTCTTTTGACTTTCTTTTTGTCAGCGATGATATTACTTTTTTGGACCCTTTGAATACTTTCTCTGGTATTCAAAACTATAAATTGATCTTCAGGGCATTGAGATTTCATGGTAAAATATTGTTCAGAGAGATTTCCCTTGAAGTTTTTAGGATTTGGCAACCTTCTGAGAATGTAATACTGATTAGGTGGAACTTGAGAGGTGTCCCTAGAGTTCCATGGGAGGCCAAGGGTCAGTTTCAGGGTACTTCCAGGTACAAATTAGATCGAAATGGGAAAATCTATGAGCATAAGGTTGATAATTTAGCATTTAATTTCCCACAGCAGCTTAAGCCTGCTGCCTCTGTGTTGGATTTGGTTGCTGCCTGCCCGGCTAGTCCTAATCCTACATTTCTATGGGGTCCTGTGGACACCTATCCGTCTTCTTGGGTCGCTTTTTATCACGCGGTTAGGGAGACGTTGGATCGAGAAGGATATTTGCTTTCTCAAGACAGTTTGGTTACTTGTTCATAGCCTGAATTACTTCACACTTTATATATATGTGGTGAAATTTTATAACATATATACCTGTATCAACACATTACATTTTGTATAATGGATATGGAAATAACCAGTATAAGGTTTTGCTAAAGGATAAGGTGTATGTAAATAAGCAGGGATGCTGGATGCTTCGTTTCGTGTAATTCTTGAGTTAGAGGAAGAGAAGCTTGCACATATTTGGCTCGGGTTCAGTTCTTACACAAGTCAATATGCATGTATACATGATCTTAATCTATTGGTTCAAGTAGAGATTATATATTAGCTTTGTTACATGATTGATTGTCATAATTTTCTTTTGGGTAGAATCTAAATGTTGTTGTTTGCATTAAAACATAAGATGGGTGAGGTGTAATTGATGGATAAGCGTAACCAGTGTTCCCTTCCAACATGCCCTCTTTTTCTATGGTTGAAGTTTAGGAGGAAAAGATTGTACTGATGCCATTGTTCTAATGCTTATATGCCAATGCCCTCAAAGTTCGTAGGATATGGATTGTATTTATGTGAGGAGCGGATATCTTAGATGTGTGTTATTTATTATGTTATCGGTAAGGATGAGTAGGAACAACATATCGGTTTACCGTAAATCTTTCTTTCCCTGTTATGCCCGGTTGAATCTCTGTTTACTCTGTACTCACGTCAATTCTTTGGAACCTTATATCTGGTTATTTTTCTTATAGTCAGCCATCTCTGCTTTAGCAACATGCAATAATTGCACAACCTCCACCTTGATAATGTTTTATTGAAAAATTTTGTTCCACTAGTAAGTTTACATGGTTGGTTAAGGAGGACTAGGTTTGTTGTTGATGCTTAGAACACGTAGGTTACACTGGCTGGTTCTTTATCTTTCGGAAAGTCGGGCAGCTGCTACGATCATCACTCAAGCTACCCTTTCTTTTCACTTCTGTTAGAAGCTTTAGTTTAGACTTTACCTCATCAAACTGAAGGCACTGCAAACTATTTCGTGACATAGATTTGGCCTCTTCGACGGCTTCAATGCGTGTCATAAATGTTTTATTACTCGAGTTATACATGTTTAGCTGCATGATTTGACCTATGCAATATGAATCATTTTCCAGCATGATATCATAAGGACATAATATGAGCTGATCCTTGAAGAAGTATAATAATGTGGAATTTTTCTCTGCAAAGTTGTAACATTTTTGTCAACTTTATGGCAGTCTTGTCTATATAGTCTAGTTTTTGGTAGGAGGGAGATATTTGAAGCCATTTCTCTGCATAGAGAAATACATGCATATAGCATC